TAGCAGCATGATTTGATAATCCATGTTGGTTATTCCCGCAGTAAATGGGAATGGCTGGCATATGGTACATCTAGTTCTAGATACTTTGAGGAATCGCCAATACTGCTGTAATCATAACGGTTGAACTAGTTTACAATCCCACCTAAACCCCAACCAGTGTAAAGTGTTCCTATTTCCCGTCCATCCTCTCCAGCACCTGATTTTGTCCGACTTTTTAATGATTTGCCATTCTAACTGATGTTGAAGAAGTATTCTCATTGTGGTTTTGATTTGGCATTTTCTCTGGATGGCCAGGTGATGATGAGCATTTTTCATGTGTCTGTTGGGCTGTATGAATTGTCTCCTTTTGGAGGCAATGTCTGTTCATATTCCTTTGCCACGTTTTTGATGGTGGTTTGTTTTTTTCTTGTTAAAATTTGTTTGAGTTTTTGTAAGTTCTGTGGATATTTAGCCCTTTGTTCTGATGAGTAGAGGCAAAAATGTTCTCCCATTCTGTTAGTTTTGCCTGTTCACTCTGATTGGGTTAGTTTTCTTTTTGCTGTTGCAGAGGCTCTTTAAGTTAATTAGATCCCATTTGTCAATTTTGGGCTTTTTCTTGTCGGTTTGGCTTTGGTGTTTTAGACCCACCGAAGAGTCCCTTGCCCATGCCTATGTCCTGAATGGTATTCCTAGGGTTTTCTTCTACGGGGGTTTTTTTGATGGGATTAGGGTCTAACATTTAAGGCTCTAATCCATCTTGAATTCATTTTTCGTGATAAAGGGAGTAAGGGAAAGGATCCAGTTTCAGCTTTGTCTACTATGGGCTAGGCCAATTTTTCCCAGCAACATTTATTAAATAGGGAATCCTTTTCCCCATTTCTTGTTTTCTTCTTCAGGTTTGTCAAAGATCAGATGGGCTGTAGATGTGTGGTATTATTTCTGAAGGAACCTGTTTCTGTTCCATTGGTTCTCTATCTCTGTTTGGTACCAGTACATTGCTGTTTTGGTTACTGTAGCCTTGTAGTACCAGGTTTGAAGTCAGGTAGCGTGATGCTTCAGCTTTGTTTCCTTTGGACTTAGGAATTGTCTTGGAGGATTTGCGGGGATCCTTTTTGGTTCCATATGAACTTTAGCAGTTTTTTCAATTCTGTGAGAAACTCATTGGTAGCTTGATGGGGGGGATGGCATTGAATTCTAAAAAGTGACCCTGGGCAATATAAAGATCTGGGTTGCTTTCCTGTACTGGGGTGCATATATATTTAGGAGATGTAGTTAGCTCTTCTGTGTGAATTGATCCCTTTTACCTTATGTAATGGGCTTTCTTTGTGCCTTTTTGATCTTTCGATGGTTTTTAAAGTTTGGTTTTATCAGAGCACTAGGTATTGCAACCCTCCTTTTTTTTTGTTTCTCCATTTGCTTTCGTAGATCTTCCCTCCATACGCTTATTTTGAGTCTATGTATGTTCTCTGCGGTTGAGATGGTATCCTAACTTACAGCAACTGATGGGTCTTGGACTTTTATTCCAGTTGGCCAGTCCGCTGTGTTTTTAATGGAGGGCAGTTTAATCCATTTACATTTAAAGTTAATATTGTTATATTGAACTTGATTCCTGCCATTATGATTATTAAACTGGGTTTATTTTGGCCTCATTAGTTGATGCCGTTTCTTCTAGCATTCGATTGGAGTCTTTACATTTTTGGCATGTTTTGCAATTGGCTAGGTACCGGTTGTTTTCCTTTCCATGTTGAGTGCTTCCTTCAGGTCTCTTGGTTAAGGCAGGGCCTTGGTGGTGACAAAATCTTCTAAGCAATTTGCCTTATCTGTAAAAGGGACTTTATTTCTCGCTTTCACCTTATTTGAAACTTAGTTTGGCTAGATCATGAAATTCTGGGTTTAAAATTCTTTTCTTTAAGAATGTTCGAATATGTGGGCCCCTTTTTTCAAGATTTTTAGTTTCTTTGCGCTGGGTACGTAATTCCTCCTTTAGCTCTGAGAAATTTGATGGACTGAAGCCTTCTTCTCTCATCTCGTCAAAGTCATTCTCCGTCCAGCTTTCTTCTGTTGTTGGCGATGAGCTGCGTTCCTTTGGAGAGGAGATGTGCTCTTATTTTTTGAATTTCCAGCTTTTCTGCCCTGCTTTTTCCCCATCTTTGTGGTTTTATCTGCCTCCGGTCTTTCATGATGGTGACGTACTGATGGGGTTTTGGTGTGGGTGTCCTTCCTGTTTGATAGTTTTCCTTCTAACAGTCAGGACCCTCAGCTGTAGGTCTGTTGGAGATTGCCTGAGGTCCACTCCGACCCTGTTTGCCTGGGTGTCAGCAGCAGAGGCTGCAGAAGATAGACTACTGCTGAACAGCGAGTATACCTGTCTGATTCTTGCTTTGGAAGCTTCCTCTCAGGGGTGTACTCCACCGTGTGAGGTGTGGGATGTCGGTCTGCCCCTAGTGGGAGATGTCTCCCAGTTAGGCTACTCAGGTGTC